TTTATTTCACTCTGTTTCAATGACATCTGACTGGACATGAAATCTTGTCCATGTTTCAGGGCACATAAATAAGCATTAAAACAGATTAAACATATGACATCTGTCTACAGATGGAACAGCTTACAGGAATGAGACCTGTCTATGGATGGATCAGCATACTTGACATCTGTCCATAAACGGATCAGCTTAAATGTTAGAATGAATGAATCAAGGATTGACACCCCAGTACTCGGCCATGCACTCAGAATGGATAAGTTACTCCCCTCCATCAAGCCTTCATATGGGCACCAGAAGTGAAAAGAAAATAAGGAAGACCAAGTGAGACCCTGCGTAGAACCATCATCAGGAAAGGCACAGAACCATCATCAGGATAGGTTCAACAATGGGTCTAACAAACATCCAAAACCTAAAAGAGGTGGCAATGAACTAACAAACATGGAGAGCCATGATCTGTCTACAGCTGGAGCAACTTAGAAATGTGACATCTGTCTACAGCTGGAGTAGCTTAGAAATGTGAAATCTGTCTACAGCTGGAGCAGCTTAGAAATGTGACATCTGTCTACAGCTGGAGCAGCTTAGAAATGTGACATCTGTCTAAAGCTGGAGCAGCTTAGAAATGTGAAATCTGTCTACAGCTGGAGCAACTTAGAAATGTGACATCTGTCTACAGCTGGAGGAGCTTAAAAATGTGACATCTGTCTACAACTTAGAAAGGCAGATGTGAGATCTGATTTTTGCTGGAGCACTTTAGAATGTGACACCTGTATATAGCTTGAGGAGTTAAGAAATGTAACATCTGTCAACAGCTGGAGCAGCTTAGAGTTATTTGTCAACAGAGTCACGATATGTCTACAGCTGCAGCTAGACAAGAGTCATGATATGTCTACAGCTGAAGCAGCTTACAGTCAAGATATGTCTACAGCTGAAACAGCCTATGTCATGATATGCAGCAGCTTATTTAATGATAGGTCTACAGCTGCAGCAGCCTACAGTCATGGTATGTCTACAGCTGGAGCAGATTATGTCCTGATAGGTCTACAGCTAGAGCAGATTATGTCATGATAGGTCTACAGCTGCAGCAGCTTATGTCATAAAATGTCTACAGCTGCAGCAGCCTACAGTAATAATAAGTCTACAGCTGCAGCAGCCTACAGTAATGATATATCTACAGCTGCAGCAGGTTATGGCATGATATTTCTACAGCTGGAGCAGCTTATGTCATGATAGGTCTACAGCTGAAGCAGCTTAAATCATGATATGTCTACAGCTGGAGCAGCTTAAATCATTAAATTTCTAACAGCTGGAGCAGCTTCCAGCCATGATTCATCTACAGCTGGAGCAGCTTACAGTCATGATATGTCTACAGCTGGAGCAGCTTTGAGTCATATGTCTATAGCTGGAGCAGCTTAAAGTCATATGTCACAGCTGAAGCTGCTTAGAGCAATATGTCTACAGCTGGAGCAGCTTAGAGTCATATGTCTATAGCTGAAGCAGTTTAGAGTCATATGTCTACAGCTGGAGCAGCTTAGAGTCATATGTCTATAGCTAGAGCAGCTTAGAGTCATACGTCTACAGCTGGAGCAGCTTAGAGTCATATTTCTACAGCTGAAGCAGCTTAGAGTCATATTTCTACAGCTGGAGCAGCTTAGAGTCATATGTCTACAGCTCCAGCAGCTTAGAGTCAAATGTCTACAGCTGGAGCAGCTTAGTGTCAAATGTCTACAGCTGGAGCAGCTTAGAGTCATATGTCTACAGCTGGAGCAGCTTAGAGTCACATGTCTACAGCTGGAGCAGCTTAGAGTCATATGTCTACAGCTGGAGCAGCTTAGAGTCATATGTCTACAGCTGGAGCAGCTTAGAGTCGTATGTCTACAGCTGGAGCAGCTTAGAGTCGTATGTCTAGCGCTGGAGCAGCTTAGCTGGAGCAGCTTAAAGTCTACAGCTGGAGCAGCTTAGAGTCATATGTCTACAGCTGGAGCAGCTTAGAGTCATATCTCTACAGCTGGAGCAGCTTAGAGTCATATGTCTACAGCTAGAGCAGTTGAGAGTCATATGTCTACAGCTAGAGCAGTTTAAAGTCATATGTTTACAGCTGGAGCAGCTTAGAGTCAGTCATATGTCTACAGCTGGAGCTGCTTAGAGTCGTATGTCTACAGCTGGAGCAGCTTAAAGTCTACAGCTGGAGCAGCTTAGAGTCATATGTCTACAGCTGGAGCAGCTTAGAGTCATATTTCTACAGCTGGAGCAGCTTACAGTCATATGTCTACAGCTGGAGCAGCTTAGTCATATGTCTACAGCTAGAGCAGTTTAGAGTCATATGTCTACAGTTAGAGCAGTTTAGAGTCATATGTTTACAGCTGGAGCAGCTTAGAGTCAGTCATATGTCTACAGCTGGAGCTGCTTAGAATCATATGTCTGCAGCTGGAGCAGCTTAGAGTCGTATGTCTACAGCTGGAGCAGCTTAGAGTTGTATGTCTACCGCTGGAGCAGCTTAGAGTCGTATGTCTACAGCTGGAGCAGCTTAAAGTCTACAGCTGGAGCAGCTTAGAGTCATATGTCTACAGCTGGAGCAGCTTAGAGTCATATTTCTACAGCTGGAGCAGCTAACAGTCATATGTTTACAGCTGGAGCAGCTTAGAGTCAGTTATATGTCTACAGCTGGAGCAGCTAATGCCATGATATGTCTACAGCTGGATCAGCTAATGCCATATGTCTACAGCTGGAGCAGCTTAAGAGTCATATGTCTACAGCTGCAGCAGTTTAGAGTCATATGTCTACAGCTGGAGCAGCTTAGAGTCAGTCATATGTCTACAGCTGGAGCAGCTAATGCCATGATATGTCTACAGCTGGAGCAGCTAATGCCATGATATTTCTACATCTGGAGCGGCTAATGCCATGATATTTCTACAGCTGGAGCAGCTAATGCCAGCTGGAGAGCTTAGAGTCATATTCTACAGCTGGAGCAGCGGCTAATGCCATGATATTTCTACAGCTGGAGCAGCTAATGCCATGATATTTCTACAGCTGGAGCAGCTAATGCCATGATATTTCTACATCTGGAGCGGCTAATGCCATGATATTTCTACAGCTGGAGCGGCTAATGCCATGATATTTCTACAGCTGGAGCAGCTACTGCCATGATAGTCTACAGCTGGAGCATCTAATGCCATGATATGTCTACAGCTGGAGCAGCTAATGCCATGATATGTCTACACCTGGAGCAGCTAATGCCATGATATGTCTACACCTAGAGCGGCTAATGCCATGATATTTCTACAGCTGGAGCGGCTAATGCCATGATATGTCTACACCTGGAGCGGCTAATGCCATGATATGTCTACACCTGGAGCGGCTAATGCCATGATATTTCTACAGCTGGAGCAGCTAATGCCATGATATTTCTACAGCTGGAGCAGCTAATGCCATGATATGTCTACACCTGGAGCATCTAATGCCATGATATGTCTACAGCTGGAGCATCTAATGCCATGATATTTCTACACCTGGAGCATCTAATGCCATAATATGTCTACATCTGGAGCGGCTAATGCCATGATATTTCTACAGCTGGAGCAGCTAATGCCATGATATGTCTACACCTGGAGCAGCTAATGCCATGATATGTCTACAGCTGGAGCAGCTACTGCCATGATAGTCTACAGCTGGAGCATCTAATGCCATGATAGTCTACAGCTGGAGCAGCTACCGCCATGATAGTCTACAGCTGGAGCAGCTTAGAGACAATATATGTCTAACAGCTGGAGCAGTTTACAGCTATATATACACTACAACAGCTTTCTAGTAAAAGAAGTTGTAATCATTAATGTAACAAAGATAGTAAATGGGAAGTAAAAGAAGTAGTATCCGGAAAGTAACAGAGTCAGTGAATGGTAAGTCACAGAAGTAGTATCAGGAAAGTAACAGAGATGGTAAATGGAAAGTAACAGAAGTAGTATCCAGAAAGTAACAGAGATGGTAAATTGGAAGTAACAGAAGCATTATCTTTCAGGAAAGTTACAGAGACAGTAAATGGGAAGTAAAAGAAGTAGTATCTGGAAAGTAACAGAGATGATAAATAGGAGGTAACAGAAGCTGTATCAAGAAAGTAATAAAAGTATCAGGAATAGTAAAGTAACAAAGGTAGTAACTGGAATGTAACAGATATCATAACTCAGTGGCTCTTAACCTTCCTAATGTGGTGACCTTTTAATACAGTTCCTCACGTTGTGGTGACCCCCAAACATACAACTATTTTCGTTGCTACGTCACAACTTCAGTGAATATATGTTTTCCGATGGTCTTTGGCCCCTGTGAAAGAGTCGTTTGACCCACAGGTTGAGAACCGCTGTCCTTACGGGAGAGCAACAAAAGTAGCATCAGAAAAGTAACAGAGGTAATAACCGGAAATTAACACAAGTAGTATCAGGAAAGTGCCTAGAGTAGTAATTAGGAAGTAACAGAAGTGAAATCTGGAAAGTAAGAGAAGCCGTAAATGGGAAGTAACAAAAGTAGTATCAGGAAAGTAACAGAAGCAGTAATTGAAAAGTAACATAAATAGTATCAGGAAAGTAACCAGAGTAGTAATTAGGAAGTAACAGAAGTGAAATCTGGAAAGTAACAGAAGTCGTAAATGGGAAGTAACAAAAGTAGTATCAGGAAAGTAACAGAGGCAGTAATTGAAAAGTAACATAAATAGTAGCAGGAAAGTAACAAAAGTAAGTAACTGGAAAGTAATGAACGTAAAAACTGGGAAGTAACAGCAGTGGTAATTGGAAGGTAACAAGTAGTATCTGGAAAGTAAGAGAAAGTCAAACTGGAAAGTAATAGGCTGTAACTGGAAAGCAGAAGTAATACCAAGAAATATAAAGTAACAGTCACACACCTAATTAAAAAAAAATGACAGGAAGGTAACTACAAATTTGAAAGTAAAAGAAAAAAACTAGAAAGTAACATAAATAGTAACTGAGAGTAACTAGAACAAAACAGTTATACACTTACTTTCATGGAGATGACAGACAGCCTTCCCTGAATGGTGTGTAGTTAGGGATTGTATGGGGATACTTGACGTGCCAGACTGTATGAAACATGAACTCCACTTTGTCCTGGCAATGGGTACCACACGAAGGACATCGAAATGGATGGTTCTCGTACGGCATGTGCAGACTCTCATGCAAGTGGAACATGGTGTAGTCATAGAAGAAGATGTTGCAGTGCTGGCAGTGATGAATGCCACCACTGTCCGCTAGTGGAGTAGTGGAAGTCGTGGTGACGTCTCGTTTTCCTGTGTCTGATTCAGACTCTGCCTTTGACAGCAGTGTGGTCATCCCCACAGTCTCCTTTTCTGTGCTGGATGAGGTGATACCTGAGGCTAGAGGCGGAGAGTTGGAGGACTTGTTCATGCTGAGATCCATGACAGAATCGCACGGATATGATTTATCATGACTAGTCTCCATGTAAGACGGCAGAGAAGCCTGGGACTCCATTCTGTCGTAAGACAGGTTCTGGGTTTTGGGGTTCTGGTGCGAGTAGTTGGATGAGATGGAATGGTCCTGCTGCTGGCTTCCCCTTTCAAGCTCCATGCTTTTGGGACCTTGACTTGAAGATCCATTCTCCATATGCTGGGTCTCCATCTCCTTGTCCCTGCCATGGTGGAAGTCTCTGAGCTCATCCTCTCTGCAGAAATGATGCTGATTCATCTGCTTGCTTCTTTGGTCCACATCTTTCTCATGGTCAAAGAGTTCCTGAGGTGAAAGCTGTGGTGGGGGTGTGCATCTTGAGGTAGCTGATCCGTTGATGTTGCTTTTGGTTATATTATTATTATTATTGTTGTGATGTTGATGGTGGAAGTTGATCATTTCCTGAGAAAGCCGAAGCTTGGTATGAGGTAGTAAATGGCTATCACTGTTGTGAGACTGGTGGGCTTGAGGTAGATGTCTGCTTCCAACAGTCATATTCTGAAGACCATCCAGTGGTTTTGGCATGGCTTTGAAGTTAGCGAATGAAGAAACTGAGCCAGACTGATTGTGAGGTAGATCCATACTGTCTGTCTGAAAACAAGTCAAAAAGAAGATCAGATGGGGGGAAAAGAAGAAGAATTTTGTTTAAGTAAACAGTAAAATAGTCTCGACTCCCTGTATACCTTCTCAACTTACGAAAATCTGCACTTGCGACCACAAAACAAATTTTTTTTGTTTTATTAAATAAAGAAAGATAACTCTATTGCTACGGTCAAAAAGGTCCCGGAACTGATGCAACAAAGTGCATATTGTGTATTTTTCACATTATGTACTTTTGGAGACCGCGTTAGCACAGTCGATAGGAGACTGCTTTCAAATCCAGCTGTGACTTGCTGCAGCCCACGGTCGGTGTTCGAAACCGGGTGGTCCCTGGGGTTCACCCAGCCTCTAGGTAATGGGTACCAGAGTTATCACTCTGGGGTAAATGGAGGAACAGTGTGCAATGAGGCTGGTTCACATCTCCTGGCTTTACATTTTTTATGTACTTTTACACATTTAGATTGCATTTTTGTGTTTTAAGTACATTTAGACCTGTTAGAATGGAACTCAATCATGAGTCAAGAAGACCTTGTATTTACCACCTTTTAGAGGGTAAACAGAACAAGCAGTCCTGAGTATCCTGAGCCTAAGTATTTCAGGACCAATGGCTAGTGCAGTCACCACAAACTGGGTAGGTTAGGATTTTTACTTTTGTTTCTAACAGAAACAATTTCTACTACTTTACAGAGTATATTCTTCTTCTGCATTCATCCAAAGATGTAATGGCATTGTGCCCATTTACAGCACCGCTGCAATATTTGCGCCTTTCTGCCAACACATCTGACTTCTGTAGGCATTCGTTAACCGGATTAGCCTTCCCAGTCCTGACAGAGTATTAAAGCAAAGATCCCCTGAAGGAGAGTCTGACACAGAAGCAGCCACCAAGATACCACCTCTAGACAAAAGATAGCAGGAAGCAAAGTAAACAGATGTTAGATGACAAGCTACATGGAAAATCCTGGTTGTCTTGTGGACTTTGATTTTGTTAGGGTTTTTTTGGGGGGGGTGGGGGGTGGAGAGACGTTATGAGAAGAATCGAACTAGAGAAATTTGTAACGAACTGGCAAGATTAAAGGAAAAAGAGCAAGGGGAAGGCAAAGAGATAATTATTTGGATAGCTTGACCATACTGATGGGATGAGACAAAAACACTGACCTTATCCATGATTCTAATGATCGTCCCTGATGGCAAAACATGACAGCCAACGCTTATTGTCATGGCACATGATGATGATAATATATAATCATCATATCCCATAATAAAATTTTATAACAAGATAAAAAACAAAATTACTGACAAGCAAACAAATGCTAGAATTTACCTTAGTGGCATTGGAATAGTGGCTGATCAAAAGTGTTGAAGATGACTGAATCATATTTGCTGAGACTACTGGCATAGTGGTCAGCGTGTTGGACCTTACTGGTGAGTGCATGGCCTCGTGGTTGTGTGGGGATTCACGATTATGTGCCTTCTTCTCGTGTCCATTATCTGTATCACTTGGGGTGGAGGGCGGAGTCACCTGGAGGAGATCAGAAGAGTTTGAGTCCCCATTCCATTATAAATATTGATTCCTACATTCAAGAAATTGTTCATCTTAATGTTTATTTTAATAATAGAAAATTGACCAGATCTGTAGAAAACTAAATAAATAAGAAAACAGAATGAAGAATCAAAGCCTAATGAAGCTGAGATTCTTCTTTTTTTTCTACGGCACCCACAAAAGGCGGTTAGCACATTATGATGTGATTTGCAGCTAGGCTGTGATATTTGCTCCTTTCCGCGAAACACATCTGATTTCAGCAGTCTTAATTAGTAATCTTTTTACATGTTTCTTAAGCTTCTTCTTCGCATTTACCGACTGTAAACTCCGGCGGAAAGTTCTAGTTGTTCATCCAACTGGAATTTAGACTTGTTGCAGAACCTGAGTGTTACCCACACATTCGTTTTACAGATCTGACTTATCTGAACAGACTGTTGGTTCCTTGTGTCTCAGGCAGATGTACTCAGACTTCAAAGGAAACCCCCAATTAGTAGACTCTTATGACATGCTTGTTTGGGAGGCAGTGGGTCTATTCTTAGTTCCCCCACAATGGGGCCATGGAACCCACACAGGAAGTTTGTTATGCAGGAGGGGGTCAATTTTTTTTCCAACACAGTAAAGTCCATTAAAACACACTAATAAAACTGGGTGCTTTATTAATATCCCACCCCAAACAGGGAAAATTTGCAGGTCACAGGACAGTCTAATATTTCAGGGGGTGGTAGATAGGCTGCATGCAGTCGTGGGACCTAGGCTGCAATCTCTCATGAGACATAGGTGGGTTGGGGTTAGGACCAGTTCTAGATGTTTTGGGATCGTTAAAAGCATCAGAAAGCAGGGAAACCCTGTCTTACCACCCTCTAAAATGTTGAACTGTCCTGTGACATTATCTGGGGTAGGATATTAATAAAGATCCTAAATGTGAGATTCAAAGTCACCAGGGGAAAAAAACAGAATAGTTATAAAAATAAAAAATGTGCATGCATAGACCCCCCAAAAAAAAAAAAATTCTTTTATCTATAAAATATAAATCAATTTGATAAGAAAGACAAATCTGGCAGAAGAATAATATTTCCACAACTGGACAAAAACAGCAGTAGTTGTGTAATAAATACATCTGCAAAGTAGAAGAGAAGACAGGCATGCTAAACTTGGGATACAACCCCTACAGCTGTGAACACTTGTATGTTAGGATTGTGAAACTTTCCAACCCTTAACAGCTGATGACTGAGAAACATACAACACTGCATCATTCTTAGACTTATTGGAGTCCTGACCTAATTTCCTAACTCTGCATATGAATACTGGAGTCCTGACCTAATTTCTTACCTCTGCATATGGATACTGGAGTCCTGACCTAATTTCTTACCTCTGCATATAGATACTAGAGTCCTGGCCTAATTTCTTACCTCTGCATATAGATACTACAGTCCTGACCTAATTTCTTACCTCTGCTTATAGATACTAGAGTCCTGACCTAATTTCTTACCTATGCATATGGATACTCCTAAACACAATGATTACTCCTAGCTACAATGATTACTCCTAGCGAACAGCAAATATTCTAACATTAAATGGGATGAATTCAAGAATGGCTATGAGGTAAGAGAAATATCTGAACAACTGCTTGTATCAACTGTTATATGCACAAGAAAGTTTGAAGTTTGAACAACAGATCAACATCCAGTCTGTCCGAAGAAGCTCAGCGCAGTGCACAGGCTCTGTCGGCGAGGATCCTGAAATACTTTGGGTAGATTTTTAACTCTAAATTTTGCCCGGGCAGCGCCGTTAGACTACTCTTTTCAATTTCCAACTGCCAAGGGATTTTTTACTTGCGCAACAATGCACACGGCGTCTGATCTCACTACCCAGAGATCAGGGGGAATTACTAGAAGTCCAAGTCCATGTGAAAAAATCCCAGCCCTTAACGGGGATTGAACTCGGAACCTCAAGCACTCAAGGCGGACACCATGCCTCGAGACCATGCAGCCCTAGCAAACAGCAAATATTCTAACATTAAATAGAATGAATTCAAGAATGGCTATGAAATAAGATAATTATTTGGACAACTGCCTTTATTAACTGTTATATGAACAAGAAAAAGGCAAGATACTGTGAGGAGATTCAGAAACAGAATCACAAAACAGTCAATGAATTGGAAAAGAAATAGACTGAGGAAACAAAGATGTCAAAGAGAAACCCTAGGACCCTCCAATGTTGTTGAGAGAAGCTCGGGTGCTGGGCTGGACTGCATTTATGATATCAGAAGTACGGAACAGCATTCAATAGAAGGAAGGTGTAGACTGTGAGCGCTATGTGTAATTTACCATAAAACTGGATGATGATAACAATGATTACTCCCAGCACACATCATCTCCTAATTCTACTTACCTGCTCCACTGTGAGTGCTATGTGAAATATACGACAAAACTGGATGATGATAATGACGATGATGATTACTCCCAGCACACATCATCTCCTAATTCTACTTACCTGCTCCACTGTGAGTGCTATGTGAAATATAAGACAAAACTGGATGATGATAATGACGATGATGATGATAACAATGATTACTCCCAGCACACATCATCTCCTAATTCTACTTACCTGCTCCACTGTGAGTGCTATGTGAAATATACGACAAAACTGGATGATGATAATGACGATGAGATGATAACAATGATTACTCCCAGCACACATCATCTCCTAATTCTACTTACCTGCTCCACTGTGAGTGGACTTCTGGGTGAGGAACCGAGTTCCTGTGGTTGTGGCCCATCTACTCCCTGAGTGTGATGAAACAACTGAGTGTTTTGACCTTTACTGATGGCAGCCTTCTGCAGATAAGTCTCATAGGTCAAGGCTTGCTGCAGAAGTGCCCTCTGCTGCATGGCAAATGCCTGATAGGCAGCCAGATTAACCTGTTACGGAGGAATTCACAAAATTCAGTAGATTAAATGAATTTAAAAGGGATGAGAAAGCTTTATCGCAGATGAAATGGTTTGGCCATCTGATAAGAATATCCGGGTACTGACTGTTACAAAGAGCCACTCTGAAGACATGTAATGAACAATGATAATGGGGAAGAAACATGCAAAAGATATAACAATGGCATCAAAAACATGAAGAATAGAAATCAAGATCAACTTACAGAACACATTAACAGGAGCACATAGATGATCCTCTCTTCCCAACACTAAAGTGAAATAACTAAAGGGAAGCAAAAACAAAGAATTTGAAGATTGGCTTCCTTAATTTAAGTTTTCAAACTGGCTGTGGGATCAGCTGGAGTAATTCTGTGTACTCAGAATGGTGTTACCAACAGAAGAAAAAATTATTTTGGTTGAACAAGTGTTCCGAAATTACAGCTGACATACACGGATGGTTGTTAAAAGATTTATAGCAAAGATTTCCTGATAAACAACCTCATCATCACATTTCTGTTAGAAATTTACTTAATACTTCATGGGTAATTTCCAACTTCCCCAAAACAGCATTGGATCATAGCAGTAGCGTTGTAACTAACTTGATTACCTTTTAAGAACAGTTTTTGATGACAGTATGTACTTTTTTCTTTTTTGAAATATGTTCTGCATACAAAGTGTAGTCAGGCTTTACCCCCCCCCCCCCCCCCCCCCCCCATAAGATCACACCAAAAGAATTCTGCACAGTGCACAAACTCTCTAGCACTGGTAAAGATATATAGATATCACATGCAGTACAAAAGATTCTTTTGTTGGTGGGGTTTTTTTTTCATTTTACATTTAGCCTGCTAATAGTAGTTTGTTTGATCTGCTCTTTGCAACCTCCAACTGCACAGAAGTTCTCCAGGTTATCCATTCTTATCTGAGAAGGCTAGATGTCCAGTCCACTACCTTAGGATCAGAGGAAGTATTTCACACAGTTCTTATTTTAAATTAAAAATTCACACACAAGTCTATAATATGAATCTGGTCTGCATAAGCCAATAAGCCAGAGTGGAAAATGTAGCATCTAGGTCATTCTGCAACAGAGTATCTGGCACCTGAAGGACTTCACTGAGTTTGTCAAGAAACATCTTCACTGCACACATGGGCACCTTTCTAAATAACCCAGTCTTTCTCCATAGACCACAACAAGAGAATGCCAAAACACAAACTCTACAGCACTGCTGTGAATCTCAATCGGTATGTACAAATTCACACATCTAAATCAGCAGTCTCCAACCTGGGGGAGGGTGTAGGGGGCGCCCTTCTTAAAGGGTGTGAGAAAGTTTTAAGGAAAAGGGAGGGGGATTGTCAAGCAATTTTGAAACTGAATTGATTTGTACTTGTAATCTGGATTTTCAGCTTTAATAGTCATGAAAACAAAGCAGCATTGCCAGCCTGATGTGGAGCATGATCTCCACTGTGCCTTGTCCAACACCACAACAGCACATGTCATCTCAAGACAAAACAGTGTCGACCATCATACTGATATGTCGACACTAAATTACCAGTTGTTGGTGATATTTTCTTCCGTAATTTTACATTCTAATTTATGTCTATGTTTTCTTCCCCTCCAAGTTCTTGTTAACACTGCTTGGATTTTTCATTTTTCCTCTTTTTAATCACATTATGTTATGTTGGTGTGGGGGCGTATGAGCGGTATTGCCATATACTTAAGGGAGGTGCTACCAGAAAACGGTTGGAGACCACTTATCTAAATATTGTTTCTCAGAGTATATTTTCTAATTTTAAAATTTTAATTCACCAAACTCTACGCCATACAGGTTCACAGAGTATGAAAGTTACATCTCCTGGTATTTTTAGATGTAAAAAAAAAAAAAAAAAAGTGCAATGAGGCAGCAATAAATTAAGACTTAGAGAAGACAAAATTAATCAAGTCACTAAGACCACACAACTTACCTGACTGGCCTGTCTGCCAGCTGGTTTGTAGCCATAAATTTTCCCTCTCATGTGAACATTCCTTTCATGTCGCCGCAGGTCGTTAGACTGAGTGAAGCATCTGTGACATATCTTACACTTATAGGGACGTTCACCTGTATGAACTCGTTCATGAACCTGCAGGAAACAGGTGTAAGGTTCAGGAAGCTGTCACACACAATTCAAGGTGAATTTATGGCTTACATCTAGGCTACAATATCTGCACCTGCAATTGTTATTTCTTATTCTTTTTTTGTCTCACTGAAACCAGGTCGTCGCTCAGTGTCATGATTTTCTGTATTTGTCTTGTGCTTCTCTAGTGGCTAGAGGGTACCCATGGCAAAGTGGTCACCCCGTTTGCCTCATGCTCTGTAAGTCATGGGTTCATTTCACAGTTGCGCCCTTCAGTTCACGGGGGGCAATTTTTTATGGAGATCCCTGGGAATCATCGCACCGAGATACGGAGTTCATGCTCTGTATGACGCTCTCAGCAAACAGCTAACCATTCAGCAGAGAGAGTGAAATCGCACTGATTGACACATTTGGATTTGGAGATGTATTTGATGCAATTGTAGATGCACCGAACGGGTTGATGATATTCAACCACTCATCGAAAAATGGTTTTAATCATTCAAAATTACATGATCCCAAAAGGTTGATAATTGTTACTGGCTGAACAAATTGTAATCCATCTAGGTACCAGTTCTCTTCCTTTCGGAGCACATGTTCAAAACACTTTTTCCAGAAATGAATGTCTATTTTTGAGAGGGACTCACGTGTCAGAGCTTCAACATCACACATTTTAAATGTATTGATTGTTTCGGAAACTTTTCTTTTGGCTTTAGCCCAAACATGCTCTATTGGGATGAGGTGTGAATGATATGCAGGGAGTGGCACAGAAGTGTGGCCATATTCATTGATGATTTTGTCAATGTGATACACCTTTGTCTTATTTGTTTTCCTCACAAGCTGCAACAATTCTGCCTTCAAATATGTGTCATCAAAGTAGACTTTTTCCTTAGCAAGCCATGTCTTAATTCGATCTTTTGTATTTGATGTCATTGGTACTTTGTCTTCCTCTATAGGCAGAATTCTCCATTACTAGATATGATGGTCAGTCCAGAACTGGAAGAAGATCATTCTCCATCCAGTTGCTGAAAATGTGTCCATTCATTTCAGTGTGGTAGTCGTTTTTCAGTACTTTTTGACTGGATAATAAGTCCAGCTTCATGGATAAGGCTTTTGTCACTTCTTTCTGCATAAGTGAGTATAATGCGCTGGCCTTTGCAGATTGGAAATTTTTTTTTTCTGCCCACCGCTTATTGACTGCCATTCTTTAGCATAGGTATGGTGAGCATGAACCAAGGATTCATCCAAATATACAATATCACGGGTATTTGCTTTCACAAGCAATCAAATGTGGCTTTTCACAAATCATATTCCTTCCACCTAAAGTTTTCCTGAAAGTAAACCCAGCAGCTCTTACAATTTTGCACAGACTACTTTTAGAAATGTCAATTCCTCGTTGTGATTTCAATGTTCATTTCAGTTTTCTGAGAGTAACATTTTTAAGATCTCACGTCTACTGACATCTACATCAAAGTCGTCAACTTTAATTTTCCTTCCTTGGTTGACATGAGCGTACTCTGTTTCCTGTCTAATCCAACGATTAAATAATGCTCTATCTAGACCAAGCGCCAATCGTGTTCATTTCTCTGAATATCACAATATAAATGACCCGTCTTAGATTCCCTGAGGAAGTGCTGGAACAGTAAAACGGTAACCTTCTGCATTGTTATAAATTTGCATCTCAAATTGATTTGAAGTTAATATCTATGTCAGCTGTTATAAGCTAGCTATAGGACATAATAAATGAACACTAATTTGTGGATGCGCCTTTGACCAAACAACCTTGACCGACATTTTATTATGCTTCCAGCCACTAAAAGTGCGTTTGCACGAGAAAATCATGAAGCTGCGTAGGTTTCCTTGACCCCCTGTTTAACCAGTCATAATGTGCATAAATTTCTGAACTAATGAGAGTAAACGTTCCAAAAGTCTACCAAGATGGTTTCATGATAAAAATATATATTGTAAAGAAGAAGAAAAAAAAAATATGATATTCTTCTTTAGTAAAAACAAATATTTCCTTAATGTCATGGACTGCCTGTTATATCACAATGATTTTTTGCATGCAGCCTTACAAGGCTGCATGCAAAAAATCATTGTGATATAACAGGCAGTTTTTGAGAAAATGGCTTGTATGTGTGTTTATCTATTGTTGAACAAACTAAAGCAACTGTGCTACTGTAACATCCTCTAGCTCACAGATATTGACTTTCCTCAGCTAAAGGTGATCCTATGGTAAATATTTCAGTAAAATTCTGAGGCAGTAACTTCCTTAAGTGTGTGGCAGTAACTTCAGTAAAAATAAGGCAGTAGCCTTAGTAAATGTTTGAGGAAGTAACTTCAGTAAAAGTGTGAGGTAGCAACTTCAGTAAAAGTGTGAGATAGTAACTTTAGTGAATTTAAGGTAGTAACTTCAGTAATGGGAGTCGCCGTGGCCGAGCGGCTAGACGCTCGTCACGGATCGGAAGGTCGTGGGTTCGCTCCCTGGCGGAGACGGACTTTGCAGTTTCATGATTTTCTCGTGCAAACGCACTTTTAGTGACTGGAAGCCGAAATAAAATGTCGGTCAAGGTTGTTTGGTCAAAGGCGCATCCACAAATTAGTGTTCATTTATTATGTCCTATAGCTAGCTTATAACAGCTGACATAGATATTAACTTCAAATCAATTTGAGATGCAAATTTATAACTATGCAGAAGGTTACCGTTTTACTGTTCCAGCACTTCCTCAGGAAATCTAAGATAAGCCATTTATACTGTGATATTTATTACCCAGAGAAACGAACACGATTGGCGCTTGGTCTAGAGAGAGCATTATTTAATCGTACATAAGTAAAAGTGTGAGGTAGTAACTTCAGTTCAAAGTGTGAAAAAGGAGATGGAGGTAGATAAGAAGAAGTATTCAAGTACAAAAGGTAAAGATCATGTGTGTTTGTTGCAGAAGAAAGCAAAAATTTCTTACAGCTGTTGGAATGACCGAGAAACAAATGGTAAGTTGACTGGCAATGAAAACGTTAAAGCCCATCAAGTGTGTATATATTTTCGACAGACTCTTCCAGTAATAAAAACACAAGAAACTTCTGTACAAAACTGCTTACTTTAAGATTTGATGACCACAAGAAAGATTTGCCACAGGTGTTGCACGTGTAAGGCCTGTCCGCTCTATGCAACTGTTCATGCTTGTGCAAAGTGGCAATTTCTCGAAAGGATCTGTGGCAGACGTCGCACCGATGAGGCCGGGGTCCGTTGGAGGGGTGCAGCTGTTTCAGACAAGTCTCTTCCATGGCTGAAATGACAAATGGTAGGCATTTTAAAGTGAAATAAACCATCATTATGTAACCGTGCTGGGAGCCTCAGAAATGTAGTGGCTAGACACCTGCCTGCCGGCCCTAAGGTCTAGGGTTTAAATCCACATCCTGGCAGGTTTCTTCAGACTCGAATTTAGCACTCTGGTCGACCTAGCCTAAAATGGGTATCTTTTTATACCGCAAGTCATTATCATCATCATGTAGCAGGTCCTTTGCAGAACGTTGCTCTCATCCCGGTCTGCCTGAAAGAAACTCGATCTCTTACCAGCTTTTCGGCCTCATGTTCTTTCATACTCAAGCAGTCACTTATATCCTGTGCCCCTCTTCGTGTCGGTCGGCTCCTGTCCCCCCTTCCTGGTACCATGACTTCTGCAATAAATTTTTTCCAATCCATCGTGGCGCTTGATATGACCAAAATATTTTAGCTTCTGAGACAGAATGCTGTTTATTAGCCAATCTTCCTTGATTTTCAGAGCTTTCCTGATGTCAGTATTTCTCCTCTTCTTTATCCAAGTTAATCTGAGAATCTTTCAATAGCATAACAGCTCAAAAGCTCCTATTCTCTTTCTTAAGGACTGAGAGACAGTCCACGACTCACATCCATATGTTGCTACTCGGAAGATGCATGCTCTAAAAATTCTAATTTTGAATTCGTTGCTGGTGCTTAACCTTTTCAAAAATGACCTTGGCTCCCAGGTCAACCCATCCTTGAGTGGGTACCTGGTGCAGTCCCGGGAAGTAGAGTCGGCCGGCGTGATGCTGACCACATCACCCATCTTGTGCCGTTTGGTCTATAAAAATGTAGGTCTAGCCCTATATGCCCTATACGTCTAAAGGCGTGGAAAAGGGTCATTTAATTACTTTACCTTTACTTACTTTACTTTACTTTATTTACTTTACTTACTTTACTTGACTTACTTTACTTGACTTACTTTACTTGACTTACTTTACTTGACTTACTTTACTTGACTTACTTTACTTTACTTACTTTACTTTAATTACTTTACTTTACTTACTTTACTTACTTACTTACTTAACCATAATAGACTTTTAATGCTGCTTAATATACCGCAAGTATGAAAACAAAACAAAAAAACTAGATGTATGTTGACATATCTTTTTTATTTTTTTTTAAATATATATATATTACAATGACATGATTATTAACAGGTTGTATGTCAAATTTCAACAAATTGCACTGACCGTTTGCAGTTAGGCACCACTTGTCGAACGGACTATACTAAATCATAAAATAATTACGCTATTCTTGTTGTAACACGCAGATGTATCTAGTTTACATAATTCACACTTTCAAATTCCAAAACATTTTGCTAACCTCTCCGCTTCCAACTCATTATGCAGGATATGCTTTCATCCAATCCGCGTCGAGGCCTTTGGGAATTTGTTCATAATTGGTTACATTTTGCGGCTTACGTTTCATAAACGAAAACAGTGGCCAGCTTCACATCATCCCTCCTTTACTGCCTCTTACGACATGCATGGTGAGTAACGGTGTCAGTATCCTCTGTTTTCTCTATGGCTCTCGGTAAAAACGCCACAAGATTCCACGTAATCAGCACATTAATCTCGTTTTTAAACAAATCGGGTCTCATGTGGTTCATTAATGTTAGGGGGCTTCTCTAGAGTGGAAATAGAAGATAGTTTTTTCCCAAACCCACCTTGCCTGTTTTTTAAGCCTTTGCGCTTTTACGAGACAATTTTACATTCAGTAGTTTGCCACTGCCTCAGAACGGACGATGGTTATACTGTTAAGATACAATAACATGCTGTCAACCCGTCTGCAGATAACTAAACGCGCGGAATTATGAAACTGCGTTCAATACCTCTAAGCCACAGACCAACGTTGAATTTAATTGGTTGTTAAGACGCGAGAAGCAATCCTATCAGTTGTTTGTATGGAAGAAGCAATTATAATTATATTAGTTGTTTCCATTAGTTGCATTTCCATAAGTTGTGAGGGGGGGGGGGGGGGAATTCCATTATTTATATGGCAGAAGCCGTTTTTGATAACGTATGTAGCACAATACGTTAGATTTGGAGCATGGGGGGGGGGGGGCTACTTTAACACATACAGACAAATCAACAAGTGTACTTAGTCTCGAAATACTATTCAAGAGAGGCAACTGAAAGCAGGGAAATGTGTGTGAGAGAGAGAGAGAGAGAGAGAGAGAGAGAGAGAGAGAGAGAGAGAGAGAGACAGACAGACAGACAGACAGACAGAGAGACAGAGAGAGAGAGAGAGAGAGAGAGAGAGAGAGAGAGAGAGAGAGAGAGAGTGAGAACGGACACTATCGTTGATGTCTGCTTCAGACAGGCCACCTGGATATGGATGAGGACAAGGGGGAGGAGAAGAAGGAGGAGAAGAAGAAGAAGGAGGAGGAGGAGAGAGAAAAAGCAGAAGGAAGAGTAAGAAAAAGAAGAGGAGGAGGAAGAAGAAGGCGACGACTAGGAGGGGTAGAGGAAGAGGATGAAGAAAAAGAACAAGAAGAAGAAGGAGAAGAAGAAGTTATGTTCTCACCTTCTCTAAACTTAACGCCCTCTCTATACTTGACGCCTTCTCTAAACTTAACGCCCTCTCTAAACTTAACGCAACAACTAAAACTCTACGTGCAGCTGACTGGTACGCTACCTATACACACATTTTTTTCTTCTTCTTAAACTAAAACACTCAAACCAGTGACACATCAGATATAAAAACAAAATGTATTTGAATAATGGTTCCACCAGCTATCCGACTGTTCCTACCTTCCATTCAGTACAGTCAAATGTACTTCCTTCCGATCACCTTCAAACATATCGCAACAGAACAAGCGAAGTCTGTCCGCCTTACCCACTCCGGTTTCAGTTTTAGTAGAATCCAATTCCCGTTCACCAAGCGCAGTATTTATTATTCCCCACCATCCAATCTAATCCAAGTTGGACTTCTCGAAAAGAAACGAGTCGGGAGAAAAAAAACACTAGAAAAGAAACCAACTGTTGGAGAAACCAACCTCACCGAGACTTTCGAATGAAAGGATATCACTCGGGGGAATATTATTTATTAAAATTACCTACCAAAACAAGCGGCAGAAGTAGGTTAGTGGGTCGTAATACAATGCTAACTGTTATCATGAAAACAGAGTCGACGATCCACGGAGCCACCAACCAGCACGGTAAAGAGAGGAGTGGAACATGACTACAGGAATGTACCAGAATCATCGGCAAAATATGCGATGATTACAATAACAAAATCCCCCTTCCTGGCAACAAGACGACGAGCTGCTGACAGTAAAGTATCTATGACACAAACAGGGCAAATCGGGCAGGTGGGGTGGGTTTTTTTTTTTTTTATCGTCCCTTTAAGATTGCAGCAAGATCAACATCATGTGACTCAAAGAGCCACTTTTCGGAAGCGAATCTAACTCCCTGATATCCCGTTTTTTTTATTAGGGTACTCTGAGGTTAACGAGGTCACAGTGGACTTGAGTGGGTATGGACGAGACAACTGTGCGTTCATTTATAAAGCGTGATGAAGGTATCAATTTAGTGAAGGCTCTTCCCTCTCCCCTCCTCTCCCCCCCCCCTTCCCCCCTTTCCTTCCATGCCCAGAAACAATCTTCCAGTGAAAAAAATGGGCCACAGAAAACCTGAGGGAGCGTTCAAGCCTTGTTTAACTACGTAGTAATAGCAGTATTATTACTGCACATTTGAACAAGTTCCTTTGAAGCCCCTGCCCCTATAAAACTATTTGGGGCAACAAGAGGTTTAAGCCTTGTTTAACTGCGCAATAATAATTGTATGATTATTATTGCAATTAAACTATTTCATTTGAGGCCCTGGCCTATACAATTATTGGGGGCCCCCTGAAGAGGCTTAAGCTTTGTTTAATTGCGCAATAATAATAAAAATGTGTTTAATTATGTGCTGGATGGCAAATGAAAAAATTAATTTTGAAGATATATGAAAAGTATAAACGTGGTAGTGGAAACGGAGTGGGGCTGCCCCTACACATTTTTTTGAGGTAGTGCCATCAACTGGAAAATGGGGGCGGGCGGGGTGTATCTTTCCATCATCTGCACCCAGAGAAACATGACAACTTTAGCGCTAACGCACACTTGTTCAAAGCCGTCACTAGTGAAGATTTGTCAAAGTTTTGTGTAACGTGTGAACTTTTTCACAGACTGCCAACTACGGACACTTGTTCAAAGCCGTCACTAGTGAAGATTTGTCAGAGTTTTGTGTAACGTGTGAACTTTTTCACAGACTGCCAACTACGGACACTTGTTCAAAGCGGTCACTAGTGAACATTTATTGATTTACACAAGACTAATAGGAATAAAGCCAGTCTTGCAGGTCATCAAAGAACAACAAATGAGGTGGTCTGGACACCTAAGAAAAATGCCCGGGTACTATTTACCACAGCGAGCCACACTGAAACGTTACAACGAATAGAGTGAATAGACCTCGGAAAATATGGAGTGATAGCACTTAGAACAGCTTTATAGAAACGAACATCAATCAGTCTTAAAAGTTCTATTGACAGAGCTCATAAACGAATTTTACAACATGGCGCGACAATATGAGCTGCGGATTTCATTTGGAATATTCCTCAACTGTGACCAACGGGGTGTTGTGAACTGTGGATTAAGAAAATGGCGAGTGGCCTTTTGCCACAGAACTAGTGGTGCCTTATGTTATTAAAATTATTCGCGTGTGCAACTGCTGATCTGTTTGTGGCTGCTGCTTCCATCGATGACGAAGTGCTGCGTCGATGATGAAATGCATTTCTTATGTCAGATTGTTTGTGTCAGCACTTCTGATGGCTGTCATATGCTTCTTATGAGTGTGTATGCTAGTGGATACGCTGAGACGACAGTCTGTGTCAATGTTCCCACTAGGGACAGTGATGGACACTCTGTGTGTTTTTCGTTGGCACAGGAGCGTATCAAATATGGGTGACCCGTTTGCTGTAAAGC